TGAACTGCTCTTCACACAATTCCCTCGCGTCCGAAGACGACCTAGTGTGCTAGTGTTCCTGTTTCCCGAAGAATTTCTTCTATAAAACATATTAGTAAATACGTTCAACGGCGTTTAAGTTGACAACAGAGTAGTAAAATTAATAAGGTTTAGGAAATCCGAGTTTAAGCCTCATTTCGGGCCCGGATCATGACAAGGAGGGTTTGTTTCTCAGATTGCCCTTTTGAAATTCGAGGTTATGTAAGCAGCTCAATGAGTTGATTTAAGCGGAACAAAACTGTAGGCAGAGTTTTCAAAGCAAGGTTGAACAACCAAAGATCTCGTGAGAATATGTTTAGCCTAACTAAACAGCAAGTCGTGAATAGAACGACATTCTTCTAGAAGATCCCTCTTGGTTGCCTAACTAGTCATACCTAACATGTTAGCAAAACTATGGTGTGTCACCGTCGACTAGGCAAAAGCTGCCACATCAACCGTCAGTTTGCTCCCTGCCTTATCAACGGCTGTTAGCAATGCTACGTTATCTGCGGATCACAGAAGCTATCTATAAACAACAAAGCCGAGCGGGCCAACCCACTGGTTCAGAGATTATGCGAGCAGTGGGCCTTAGTGTATCTTTGTGGATCTCAATTTCTGTTGGCAGTTTTTTTGAGGCACAAGACTCCTCAAGGCTGACTTTTAAAAGACCATGCAAAGCAATAATTCTGGGTAAGCTGTTTAGGGAAGACAGGATTCCCGGTACCTATCAAACAACGGAAGTGTTCAGTGATAAAAGGGTACGGATAACAGGAAAATCTAGTATTACTACTACCGCCTACCCAAACAGCCAACGGATGTCCGACACTATTGCATACCCTAATCATTCACTAGGAGGTTCCGTTTTCGGAATCATAGGTAAAAAATGAAGACCTTTATGAAAGATGTCATAAAAAGATTGAAAAGGTTTAAACTGTTGTATTGGATTTGGTGATTCCTTTGAGTTTGCTACCACAATCAACGTTTAAGGTCATCCATTAAGAATTCGCGTTCTTATTCCTATTAACTAAAAGAGTCACAGCTTCATCTCATGCTAGATGCTGTTATGTAACAATTTACTGAAAATTCGGATAGATCCTTGTCTGGCTTACTTTTGAAAAATGAATTTTAACAACCAACGACTGTACTCTCTCTCTCTCTCTCTGCTTGAATATAAACGTGGTTTATTGGTAGTTCTTAAATAAATATATTTATGGAACTGGGGTGTTCATCCGATCTATCTGATTAGGAGATATATTTTTCCCGTTGTGCTCTAAGGCGACATCAGATATATGACGGAGTGAAACTCACAAGGATAAGGGAGACCAGAATGGCCATATCTGGCTTGTAAGCCATCATCAGCCAGCCATACCCAATCCCAAGGGTCTGAATCCCCGAAATTCGAACCCGGGACCTATGATCATCATTACATTTAACACTCGATCATTGGTTCCGACCTTTGAGATTGGGTATGAAAAGCCTGATGACGGTTAACAAGCCAGATATGGACATTCCGGTCTCCCTTGTCATAATCGTTTCCGCTGTGTAAAATAGCTTTGTTTAAAAACTCAAATGGGTCTGTGCACTTTGCGTGTTATGTGGCAGATAGAGTGCTCAAAGTTATATGCCTACATCAGTAAGGAGCAATGAACTGAACAAAGAACAAGATGGATGGTTTATGATCCTACCTGGCAGCGGCCTCTTGGGACGTGCTTGTGATCTCAATGGCCAACTGAACAGACTTCTGCAGGGCATCTCGTGTGCGCTGATCTACCGGCTCAACGGCCTGTACGTCCACACTTGTCACGACGAGGTTATTCTGTGGAAAAATTAGTCTGTCTCCAATTTCGCCATCGGCACCCGTACCGAAAACAGACTGCCTAATTATGGGGGCCGAATTCTAAAAGATATGAAGATTGCATGTGGACTCAGAAAGTATAAGTATCGCTCAAATGCAGCTGAGTGGCAGAACATATGCCGAGGAGGAAGACCACAGTAAAAGCACCTTGTGGAATCTGTCAAAGTTGACTGAGGCCACGATGCCACGCACGCGAGCTGCGATGGTATTGCAGAAGTCGCCTATAAAGTCTAGCTGCGAAAACAGTTTAGTTGCATCCTCCTGCGTCGGGTTGGCCGGGACATCGAACTGCCAATTATAGGAGAGTTGAATTGAGAGACGGGCATGGTCAGCGGTTTCCACAACCAGAACGTCAGTGCAGAAGTCAGGACCCAGCAACAAGCAGATGGTTTTAATCATGTTGATGCGTTTTGGCTTGCCACCACTGAGGCTGAGAAGGGTGAAATCCTCGTCTGGTCCAAGCATGACTCGCTCGGGGCCAAAAACCACACGCAACTTCTTGCCCTTGTAGTCGTAGATCTGGACGGCGGCGTTGTGCGGCACACGATAGGTTATAACCTTTAGGTAGGAGAGCAGCAGGAAGCATATACTTTAAATCATTAATATGCGCAAATATTCGGGGTCCAGCTATAATGTCGTGCTCATCATCCCCGGAAGAGGAAGAGGAGGAGGGGGGCAAGTGCTGGGACCAAATTGTATTTGTGCTGAT